TTTCTTTTGGCCCAATCCTCTAATTTGTCTAGGTCTCTCTGTATCCTATCTCTACCCTCCAGCGTATCTACCACTCCTCCCAGTTTAGTGTCATCTGCAAACTTGCTGAGGGTGCAGTCCACACCATCCTCTAGATCATTAATGAAGATATTGAACAAAACTGGCCCCAGGACCCTTGGGGCACTCCGCTTGATACCGGCTGCCAATGGAGCCATTGATCACTACCTGTTGAGCCCGACGATCTAGCCAGCTTTCTATCCACCTTATAGTCCGTTCATCCAGCCCATACTTCTTTAACTTGCTGGCAAGAATACTGTGGGAAACCGTATCAAAAGCTTTGCTAAAGTCAAGGAATAACACGTCCACTGCTTTCCCCTCATCCACAGAGCCACTTATCTCGTCATAGAAGGCAATTAGGTTAGTCAGGCATGACTTGCCCTTGGTGAATCCATGCTGACTGTTCCTGATCACTTTCCTCTCCTCTAAGTGCTTCAGAATTGATTTCTTGAGGACCTGCTCCATGATTTTTCCAGGGACTGAGGTGAGGCTGACTGGCCTGTAGTTCCCTGGATCCTCCCTCTTCCCTTTTTTAAAGATGGGCATTACATTAGCCTTTTTCCAGTCATCCGGGACCTCCCCTGATCACCATGAGTTTTCAAAAATAATGGCCAACGGCTCTGCAATCACATCCGCCAATTACTTTAGCATCCTCGGATGCAGCGCATCCAGCCCCATGGACTTATGCTTGTCCAGCTTTTCTAAATAGTCCTGAACCACTTCTTTCTCCAGAGAGGGCTGGTCACCTTCTCCCCATGCTGTGGTGCCCAGTGCAGCAGTCTGGGAGCTGACCTTGTTCGTGAAGACAGAGGCAAAAAAAGCATTGAGTACATTAGCTTTTTCCACATCCTCTGTCACTAGGTTGCCTCCCTCATTCAGTAAGGGGCCCACACTTTCTTTGACTTTCTTCTTGTTGCTAACATACCTGAAGAAACCCTTCTTGTTACTCTTAACGTCTCTTGCTAGCTGCAACTCCAAGTGTGATTTGGCCTTCCTGATTTCACTCCTGCATGCCTAAGCAATATTTTTATACTCCTCCCTGGTCATTTGTCCAATCTTCCACTTCTTGGAAGCTTCTTTTTTGTGTTTAAGATCAGCAAGGATTTCACTGTTAAGCCAAGCTGGTCGTCCGCCATATTTACTATTCTTTCTACACATTGGGATGGTTTGTTCCTGCAACCTCAATGAGGATTCTTTAAAATACAGCCAGCTCTCCTGGACTCTTTTCCTCTCATGTTATTCTCCTGGGGGATCCTGCCCATCAGTTCCCTGAGGGAGTCAAAGTCTGCTTTTCTGAAGTCCAGGGTCCTTATTCTGCTGCTCTCCTTTCTTCCTTGTGTCAGGATCCTGAACTCGACCATCTCATGGTCACTGCCTCCCAGGTTCCCATCCACTTTTGCTTCCCCTACTAATTCTTCCCTGTTTGTGAGCAGCAGGTCAAGAAGAGCTCTGCCCCTAGTTGGTTCCTCCAGCACTTGCATCAGGAAATTGTCCCCTACACTTTCCAAAAACTTCCCGGATTTTCTGTGCACCGCTATATTGCTCTCCCAGCAGATATCAGAGTGATTGAAGTCTCCCATGAGAACCAGGGCCTGTGATCTAATAACTTCTGTTAGTTGCCGGAAGAACGCCTTGTCCACCTCATCCCCCTGGTCTGGTGGTCTATAGCAGCCTCCAACCACGACATCACCCTTGTTGCTCATACTTCTAAACTTAATCCAGAGACTCTCAGGTTTTTCTGCAGTTTCATACTGTTCTCTTACATACAGTGCAACTCCCCCACCTTTTCTGCCCTGCCTGTCCTTCCTGAACAGTTTATATCCATCCATGACAGTACTCCAGTCATGTGAGTTATCCCAATCACATCATAATTCCTTGACTGTGCCAGGACTTCCAGTTCTCCCTGCTTATTTCCCAGGCTTCTTGCATTTGTGTATAGGCACTTAAGATAACTCGCTGATTATCCTGCTTTCTCAGTATGAGGCAGGAGTCCTCCCCTCTTGCGCTCTCTTGCTCGTGCTTCCTCCCTGTATCTCACTTCCCCACTTACCTCAGGGCTTTGGTCTCCTTCCCCCGGTGAACCTAGTTTAAAGCCCTCCTCACTAGGTTAGCCAGTCTGCTTGCGAAGATGCTCTTCCCTCTCTTCTTTAGGTGGAGCCCGTCTTCTTGGAACACCATAAAAGCATAGGACTGGAAGGGACCTCATTTAGTCCAGTCCCCTGCACACAAGGCAGGACCCTGTAATAACTAGACCATTCCTGACAGGTGTTTGTCTAACCTGTTCTTAAAAATCTCCAATAACGGAAATTTCACAACCTCCCTAGGCAATTTGTTCCGGTCCTTAACTACCCTGACAGAAAGTTTTTCCTAATGTCCAACTTAAACCTCCCTTGTTGCAATTTAAGTCCATTGCTTCTTGTCCTATCCTCAGAGGTTAATGAGAACAATTTTTCGCCCTCCTCATTGTAACATTTTATGTACTTGAAAACTGTTATCATGTCTCTTCCTTCTCCCTCCCCCCCCCTTCCCAGTCTTTTCTTCTCCAGACTAAACAAACCCAATTTTTTCAATCTTTTCTCATGGGTCATGTTTTCTAGACCTTTATTATGTTTGTTGTTCTCCTCTGGACTTTCTTCAGTTTGTCCACATCTTTCCTGTAATGTGGCACCCAGAACTGGACGCAATACTCCAGAAGAGGCATTATTAGCACAGACTAGAGTGTAAGAATTACTTCTCATATCTTGCTTACAACACTCCTGCTAATATACCCCCAGAATGATGTTTGCTTTTTTTGCAACAGTGTTACACTCTTGACTCATATTTCGCTTGTGATCCACTATAATCCCCAGATCCCTTTTCACAGTACTCCTTTTTAGACACTCATTTCCCATTTTATATGTTTTCAATTGATTGTTCCTAAGTGGAGTACTTTGCATTTGTCCTTATTGAATTTCATTCTGTTTACTTCAGACCATTTCTCAAATTTGTCCAGATCATTTTCAATTTTAATCCTATCCTCCAAAGCACTTGCAACCTCTTCCAGCTTGGTATCATCTGCAAACTTTATAATCATATTCTCTACGCCATTGTCTAAATCATTTATGAAGATATTGAACAGAACTAGACTCAGGACTGATTCTTGCAGGACCCCACTTGATATGCCCTTCCTGCTTGGAACTGTGAACCACTGATAACTACTTTCTGGGAACGGTTTTCCAACCACTTATGCACTCACCATATAGTAGCTCCATCTAGGCCAGTGGTGGGCAATCTGCGGCCCGCGGGCTGCACGCAGCTTGTCAGGGTAATACACTGGTGGGTTGCGAGACCATTTGTTTAAGTTGACCGTCCGCAGGCACGGCCACCCGCAGCTCCCAGTGACCGTGGTTCACCATTCGCGGCCAATGGAAGCTGCGGGAAGCGGCGTGGGCCACAGGTTGCCCACCACTGATCTAAGCTATATTCCATAGTTTGTTTATGAGAAGGTCATGTGAGACTGTATCAAAAGCCTTACTAAAGTGAAGATATGCCACATCTACTGCTTCCCCCCATCCACAAGGCTTGCTACCCTGTCAAAGCTATTATGTTGGTTTGACACAATTTGTTCTTGACAAATCCTCATTGACTGTTACTTATCACCTTACTATCTTCTAGATGTTTGTGAATTGATTGCTTGATTATTCATTCCATTATCTCTCTGGGTACTGAAGTTAAGCTGACTGGTCTGTAATTCTCCAGGTTGTCCTTATTCCCCTTTTTATAGATTGATACTATATTTGCCCTCTTCAATCTGCCATGAGTTTTCAAAGATAATCGCTAATGGCTCAGATATCTCCTCAGTCAGCTCCTTGAGTATTCTATGATGTATTTCATCAGGCTCTGGTGACTTGAATATATCTAAATTGTCTAAGTAATTTTTAACTTGTTCTTTCTCTATTTTAGCCTCAGAATCTACCTCATTTTCACTGGCATTCACTATGTTGTTTACTAATAGGAAATTAGTATTGAGTAAACAAACTAAACTGCAGTAGTTACCTATTTTTGCATCTGCATAATGGCTGTGATTTTTAACCTCATTTTTAGTGTACACATGTCATTGTGGATAATGTTGCTGTACTCAGCTCTTATCATCTGAAAACTATTGAGAAGTATCGACTCCCCATTGTAAGTGCTGATTTTGTGTGGAAATCAGCTGAAGAAGGAAAACTTTTACAGATTGATGACTATGAGTCTAGTAAATCATTGGAAGGTAGTTCTGATCAAAAGCCAAGCCATTACGGTAAGTGTATTTAGTGAAGTTTTTTATGGGCTGGTACCTTTGGAAAGGAAGATTTAATTTAGAACTAATTTCAAATGGATTAGCAACAATGGTTGTTTGCAAAAAAGTAATATAAATAGAAGCTGCAGAAAAGAAGCTGGACATAATGGACCACACCATATTGGAGTCTTTCCCATTGATTTTAACGGGCTTTGGATCAGGCCCTGGATCAGGCATATGGGTAAAATAATAAATCCAATCATGACAGTCTTTTTGAATACACTGAAAAAATATCACTTGTAGTTAGCTAGAAACTTTAGTTTGATTCAACAGTATATATTGGGTTAACAGAATGTTACAAAGAAGGGTGTTAGTTTCTGAGACAACAAACTTTGAGAAATTATGAAATCTAGAGAACAGGATGTAATAGTAGAAGTATGAAATTAATAGTAATGAGTGTGGAAGAAGGATTTGAACATACTATAATTAAGATACACAGATTTAAATTTTACTCAAAAAGAAAAATACAAGCAAAAAAGGTCTGTAGTGACACTATGAGAGACTACCCAAGAATTTGAAAATAGACCAAATAATCTGTTTTAGGTTATTAGTCCCCTCATACATTGTCTTAATTTTTTTTTTCAGACTGAGACCCGTTCATTATTTAATAGATAGATAGATTAATAGATTATTAGGGTTGGAAGGGACCTCAGGAGATCATCTAGTCCAACCCCCTGCTCAAAGCAGGATCAATCCCCAACTAAATCCCCAAATGGCCCCCTCAAGGATTGAACTCACAACCCTGGGTTTAGCAGGCCAACGCTCAAACCACTGAGCTATCCCTCCCCCCTTTTTAACACTTCTAAGAAACTTTTATTTCTTTTTGGTTTTTGGTGATAGCAGTGTCTCCTAATGAAGTGTCATCTGTGAGTTTTGTGTGTTGTTCACCCCCTCCGTAAGTTTGTAGTAAAGATGTTGTTATACTTTTCTGAACTCCTTGTAATGCAGAATTTAGTATCTCATGGATAAATTAATATTATGGATCAGTGTGGTCATGACAAATAAACGTAGGGTTAGGAGTCAGGAGCCCCTGAGTTCTAATCTCTGCTCTACCAGTGACTCACTGTTAGACGTTGGCCAAATAATTTTACCTAATTGCCTCGGTTTCTCTATTTATAACCTGCTACTGTTTACCTTAGCTACCTGATAGGAGTATTTTGATGATTAATTATTTAGCATCCATACAGTTCTTTGAACATATAAAGCACTTTGCAAATGCTAAGTAGCATTATTGATTTTTGAACTATTAATATGTTAAACATAAGTAAGCCAGGTAGAAGGAATTATGCCAAGTAATGTATTTTGATAACAGGTGAGAAAAAACACTCATCTTCTGAGCATAACATTAAGGAGAAACAGGATGCCACTGAGAAGAATGAAAACTGTGGCCCTGATCCCACTCCCTTGGAAGTCAGTGAGAGCTCCGTTGGGCCCAATATGGAGAGCATCAGGTAATCCCTCTGCCCAGCATAAAAGAAAAAATGTATTTTGATATTAAGTGTGAAAAGGGGTCAGTTTATGAATTTGCCAGCATGCCTGTTCGATTTTTAAAGTTGAAATCTAACAAACTATGTTTACCCCAATTTGTAATAGAATCCAATAGGATAAACCCTTTTCATTGAGTCCAGGGAACGTTAGCTTATTAGTTTAACACTAGGTTCTTTTCAGGGCAACTTTCAGCTTGTCCTGATTTGAGAAGTACTGCTCACTTGCTTATTCTTAACCAAGCAACAATTTATTAATTCACCAGAACCACATTAACATAAATAATCAACAGTTCCCCACACAAATGTAGACACAGCCAAGTGTGTGTACTACAATATAATACGGTCTTACAAGCAATTATCACAGACCAGAGTTGAAGCTCAGTAGTTATATCAGAGAACAATGCAAATTACCAAGATTTCTCATTACATTTACTTATGGATCAACAATTCTCAATCGGTTAGTACCTAACACATTTATCACAAGTCCAAAGGTGCACTTGTCTGTAAGGCATTACTTCTTACTTCTCTTTGGCGAGATTGGTGCAAAAGGGACAAGCTTACAATATTAAAAGCAGTTGCTTAAAACAACTCCTTTCAATCTCTCTTACACCAATTTGACTGGACTTACAAAGGAGTTAAAATCTAAAATATGGTTACCTGAGGTATCATTAGGGAGTGTAGACTCAGCAAGATAATCTACAGTTATTTATTTTAAAAATTGTTTTTTCCCTTTCTAATCTTTGAAAAGAAATCTCACCACTTCTTATCCTCCTAACCTGGGAGCCGGGAGAGGGAATAGTTCTTTCCATATGTCTGGTCCAGGCATCAGTTGCACTTAGGATTCTGCAGCTTCTTGTGTTAGGTTCAGTCTACTCTCTCTAGCACATGGTGATCTCAGTTTTATGTACTCTAGCTTCAAGTCTCCTTGGAGGAGCGAGGAGGCCACTCTCTGATTCTTGTTGGGCATGTGCCAAGTGGGTGCTGAGATTTCAGCTCTGCTTCCACTTGTACCCAGTAGATGGCGATGGTATATAACAAATTTCCTTAATCCTTTTTATATCGGAGGCTTTTAAAATTTGATTAGTTTCAAGCAGGCCGGAACTCTGGCCCTGCTCCTCCTCTCCCTCCCCCGGGGGCCCCGCCCTTTGGCCAGGCCAGATGGAGGCACGCAGGAGCTGTGGTAGGGTGAGCACTGAGCATATTCCTGCTGTGTGGAGCAGCACTCCCAAAGCCCCTCTCCTCCCCCCTTCCCCCCCCCCCCCCCCGCGCGGAGCTGCCCCGCCCCAAGTCCCTTTTTGGCAAAACTTGGCATTTGTCCCATTTGCTCTTGCCAACTGATAATGGACAAATGCCCATTTTTGCCAGAAAAGTGGGGATGTCCGGGGCAGGGCTTAAAAAGGGACTGTGCTGGCCAAAACAGGACGTATGGTCACCCTAAACCAGGGGTTCTCAAACTAGGGGTTGGGACCCCTGAAGGGGTCACAAGGTTATTACATAGGGTGGGAGTCGCAAGCTGTCAGCCTCCACCCCAAACCCTGCTTTGCCTCCAGGATTTATAATGTGTTAAAATATATTTTAAAGTGTTTTTAATTTATAAGGGCGGGGGTTGCACCTCAGAGGCTTGCTATGTGAAAGTACAAAAGTTTGAGAACCACTGCCCTAGACTGTAGTAAGAGCTGCCCAGGCAGCTGTGGGGAACCCCAGACCCTCCACCTGCCCTGAGCGAGGAGCCTGGGTGCCCGACAGCAGCCCCCGGCCCGTGTCCCTGCCCCCGAGGACATGGTGTCCAGGACAGGTGGAGGGTCCAGGGCTCCCCACAGCATCCCAGGCTCGTTGGGCAGCTCTTACTAGGGCCTGACTTCCAGCCAGGACAGGAGGCAGGGCCATGGGGGGAAGGGAGGGAGCAGGGGACGTGGTCTCATGGGCGGTGTAGGGGGGCAATGTTCTTTGTGCCCAGGGTCCCAATAAATTTTAATCCACCTTTGATTTCAAGGATTTTGGCCCTACTATCAATAGGGATTCCCCCAATCGAAGCAATTTCTCTTAATATCACAAAATTATACCCTGGTTTATGTCTTTTAACATTTCTCCTTCCATAGGCCAGATGATTCCTATTCTAGAGTGTAACAATTATTTACAATGAAAACGAACAAAATCTTTACAATCTTCTAAGTTTTTGGAGGACATACTCCATACTTTATTTGATTATACATAAGTATTTCACATTATTTAGGATTTATAATAGAACAAGAGGCATTTTTCACATATGGAAGGATATATATCTGACTCACAAGGCAAACAGCTATGCAGATGCTAATTTGAGGTGAAGGACAAATTATTCATAGTATATTTGATTTACAAAAAACACAGTGTATAGTTTGTAGTCAGTTTGGGGTGAAAACACTCTGCATGGGAGAGATGGATGTGACCTTGGTTTTTATTAGCTAGGTTGTGGAAAAAGAAATTTACAAATTTGAGATACTTGCCTATGTGATTAACAATACTCTCATTTTAGCCATTTTAGTTTCTATAGTTGGGGAGAAGAATGCTCGACTTTGGCTGATCTGTAGTCCTTAGACAAAGTGTCTCACATGATGTGAAATATTTGTTTATTGTCTTCTTAGGTGGGTCCTATTTGACGATAAACAGGTTGCTCTTCTAATTTTTGAGAGCTAGAAGTAGTAATGAATCATTCAAGGGATACCTGTTGCATATGTTCCTTACAATATTTTAAAAAGAAAAAGAACAAAACCGTGCCCCAGCTCCTGTAGCCCCCACAGAGTTACTTTGGTGACTTCTACACGTTGGATGCTATCTTGACAACAGTATCTTTTAAAAAAATCCTGAACCTTTCTCTATTTTCTGTATTGTATATACATGACCATATATAGAGCTCTCATATCTTGTTTTAATTAAGAAACCATTTTTGCTTTTGAATCCTAGTTCTGAGATTTGATTTGACTTTTGTTCCAGCTCAGTGTATGCACAAAGTATTAGCACATTGCAACTTCAGATATAATTGTTTTTTCATGTTTCATGTTTTTGAGATATATAAGTGTGTGAAATTTACATTTACTTTTGAAAACCCTGCCAGCAGCCCCAAAGACTTAACTATTTCTAAAACCCTAATGTTTTTGAGTGCTTTTTCTTTCCACTCGTAAAAGCTCTAACTTGCCTCAGGGTTAAGTAATGACAGAAATTTTAGAGGCTATTATTCTGTAATGCAGCCTAGGATCTTGGGAGTTTTAGAAAAGATACATTAAAAATAATAACAATAATTAATAATAATCGCTGATTTGATCTGAGCCTGCTCCCAGTGAAGTTAGTAGCAAAACCCCCCACTGACTTTACAAACATTTCCATTGTGAGGTAGGTGAATAAATATTATCCTCATTTTACAGAAGTATAAACTGATGCTGAGGGTCTATATTGTTACCCTGAGTCACTAGCTGCATTTGAAGGGAAGTTGTTGTGGGGGCCCACAGCAACAGGATTTCCTGGAGGAATTCTGGATGTTTCCATTAGAATTCCCTTGGGCATGCACACTGGAGCTCTACCAACCTCTTACAAGGTACAATGTGGGATTCCTCTTGTGCTTAGGTGGCCAGCACAGCACAACCTTCTCCCTCCCTGTCCACTTTCAGAAAGCAAAGCAGTTCTGCCACTATTGCTATTCTGATTGCTTCTGGTTCTTCTGTAGTGTCACAGAAGAGAGGGGAAGTTGCCTTGAGTCTTCTCTTTTGTCTCGCATACCAGTGCAGGGCTATCCGCAAGTACCTTCTCCAAGAACATACAGTAACTCCTCACTTTAAGTCGTCCCAGTTAACGTTGTTTCGTTGTTACGTTGCTGATCAATTAGGGAACATGCTCATTTAAAGTTGTGCAATGCTCCACTCTTATGTTGTTTGGCTGCCTGCTTTCTCCACAGCAGGCAGCCTCCCTACACTCCCCTCCCTCCCCACAGCGTCTCCCGCCCGCCGGCAGACCCCGCGGATCAGCGCCTTGCCCCTCCTCCCCCGCCTCCTGCCCGCAGCAATCAGCTGGCTTGCGGCGTTTTGGGGGGCAGGATGGAGGGGGGAGGAGCAAGTACTCAGCGCGCTGGCTCCCCCTCCCTCCCCTGTCTCCCGAACACTGCAAGCCAGCTGATTGCCCCGGGCAGGAGGCAGGGAGGGAGGGAGGGGGAGCCTGCGCCAAGTCCTCGCTCCTCCCTCCTGCCTCCTAAACGCAAGCCAGCTGATTGCCCCGGGCAGGAGGGAGGGGGGAGGAGCGAGTACTCAGAGCACAGGCTCCCCCTCCCTCCCCTGCCTCCTGCCCAGGGCAATCAGCTGGCTTGCTGCATTTAGAAGGGAGGGGAGGGAGGGAGGAGGACCATGGGAAGTAAAGGGGGAGAAAGTGGAGGGGAAGAAGAGGCAGATCAAAGATGGGGGCTTGGGGAAGGAGGGGAGTGGGTGGGCTGAGGGTTGAGCCCCCCACCCCTGATGCTTGCAGAGTAGGGGAAGCTGCTGCTGCTGCTGCGCAACGTGCTTCTCCTAGCCTACAGCACCTTCGGCCTCCTTGCCTGCCTCATCTCCAGTGCCAGTGGGCTGTGCCTGTGTAGGGTAAGGCAGGGGCACCTCCCAACTATAGTACAGTACCTGTATTAAATTACTTGTTTAAAATGTATATAATGCCTTTTGTCTGGCAAAAAAAAATTTCCCTGGAACCTAATCCCCCTATTTACATTAATTCTTATGGGGAAATTGGATTCGCTTAACGTGAGGATGAGGATCTTGCTTTCCATTTAATTTTGTAGTATCATCACACAACAGAATGAGCTGACTGCAAAGCAGTCATCTGAAAGGTGACCTGCAAAGGCGAATGGAATAAAAATCATTGTGCTTTTTCTTAAAAAAAAATTTTTTAAGCTTTGTAATATCAGGAGTGGTAAAGGTTGTCTTCCTTAATGTTGCTAGAGGCCTAGAGAACTGTATGAGCTTTCAATTAAAGAGGCAAGGATATTGAATCTTTCATAAACAGAGCTTTTTCTCCCATTCCCCTTCCATTTTGTCAGATTTTAATCTCCTGTGACATCCTAATCTGCTAGTTCTCAAGCAGTCCAGAGAGTCCTCCATCAAAAACAGGCAATTCAAACTGGAGATTTCCAATTAAAAAAAACCCAAAGCACTTTTTATGAAAGAGAACCTCTAGGCCTTTTTTTTTATGCATCTTAAGAAAGCAAAAAAAAAAAAAGTTTTTCCCCATTTTCAGATCACCTTTAACTTCGACTTTCTCAGGGCCGCCCAGAGGATTCAGGGGACCTGGGGCAAAGCAATTTTGGGGGCCCCTTCCATAAAAAAAAGTTGCAATACTATATTCTCGTGGGGGCCCCTGCGGGGCTTGGGGCAAATTGCCCCACTTGCCCCCTCTCCTCCCAGGCGGTCCTGGGAAAAATAAACATTTAAAAACCTTCCGCATCTCAGCACAAACCCAGTTTTGAGAAAACTTCTTTTCAAGTCACTAAATTTAGTGCTAAAATTAAATTAACCCAGGGGTTCTCAAACTGGGGGTCAGGACCCCTCAGGGGGTCACGAGGTTATTACTGGGGGTCGCGAGCTGTCAGCCTCCACCTCAAACCCCACTTTGCCTCCAGCATTTATAATAGTGTTAAATATATAAAAAAGTGTTTTTAATTTATAAGGGGGGGTCACACTCAGAGGTTTGCTATGTGAAAGGGGTCACCAGTACAAAACTTTGAGAACCACTGAATTAACCCCTCTGGAGTCTCGGGGAATGCGGGGGTGGGGTCTCCCTTGGTACGGTTGGGAAGGAGGTAGGTGGTGTATGATATTGCTCTTCTCATGTGATCCCTCCCCCATGGCTCTCTTGGCTCTATCACTGTGAATCTAAAGTGGCTAATTTTAAATGAAGCTACCCTCCCCTGACATGAATCTCCCTATGGCACTGAAATTAAATGTAGACTATAATTTGGCATTTGAGAAGTGAAAGGGATGGTAGCCCTAAGGGAAAAGATAACAGCTTGGCTCATTGTGTTAAATAGATGTCTGCAAGCCTCAAACTGCTGAATGAGCTTTAGGGTAGGGAAGGCTGTGCCTCCCCAAACAGCCTGGCCCTGCCCCCTATCCGACCCCCACCCACTTCCTGCCCCCCGACTTCCCCCCTCAGAATCCCCGACCCATCCTGCTCCTTGTCCCCTCACCGCCCCCCCCAACCACCTCCCCGGGACCCCCCCCACCAACCTCCCTGTCCCCTGACTGCCCTGACCCCTATCCACCCCCCCGCCGCGTCCTGACAGACCCCCAGAACGCCCACAATCCAACTGACCGCCCCCCCCCAGCAGCGCTGTCCAGGGCCGCTCCTGGGTTACCGCCGCCTCTCCCCTCTCTCGGAGCCTCAGCGTGCCGTGTCCAGGAGCTGCCCTGGCCCCTGGACAGCGCTGCAGCGGCGTGGTTCAGCGGGACCGAAGCTCGCAGCCCCGCCCCCTTACCATGCAGCTCTGATTCAGTGGGAGGAGCTCAGGCCCGCAGCGCTCTCCAGGGCCACTCCTGACGCGGCGTGCTGAGGCGCCGGGGGATGGGGGAAGGTGGAGGCGGGGCCCCCTGCGGGGCCCAGGGCCTGGGGCAAATTGCCCCATTTGCCCCCTCCCACCCCCCCCGGGCGGCCCTGGACTTTCTTAGCTTTTGTATTGGTTAAATAGACACACATAACTCAATCCTGCATTCCTGATACATGCAAAACTTCCATTGATCTTATTGGGAATTAAATAGGCAGAAAAGACTGTGGGCTCAAGCTCTGTGTTTAAAAAATATAATATTATAACATAAAATATATTTATAATTTATTATAATTATTATGATAATATTATATAAAATAATTGATTATGATTTTAAAAGGCCACACTATCTTAAACTAGAGTTTTGTTCACTATAGCAATTTCTCTGGCTACAGAATTTCTCTGCTAAAACAGATAGATTTTTGTTTACATTCCTGTCTGGTCCTTCTGCTGCAGAACACTCAATGAATCTGATTTTCAGAAGTGCTGAGCACCTGCAGCTACCATCAGGGCCGGCTCCAGGCACCAGCTTAACAAGCAGGTGCTTGGGGCGGCCAAGGGAGAGGGGCGGCACCTGCGGCAATTCGGGGGCGGCAGGTCTCTCACTCCCTCTAGGAGCGAAGGACCTGCCGCTGAACTGCCGCCGCCGATCGCGGCTTGCTTTTTTTTTTTTTTTTGCTTGGGGCGGCAGAAATGCTGGAGCCGGCCCTGGCTACCATAAAGCCCCCAGCACAGCTGAATATCATGTGCATTGAAGTTACTCCTATGCCAGTTGAGAGCAAAGGGCTGATTGTTACTGTAATTAAGGAGAGAGCAAGTTGCATAAGAAGAAACAACTAAGACACTCACATTTTTAAAACTTATTAATAAAATACATATTTCACTGTCATTAAAAGCTATCAGTGGTAGAATAGATGTTAATTATTTTCTAGGAATGAATCAGTTACAAATTATACTTATTTGCTTAAAATACTTGCTGTTGAAGGGCATGACTTTAATATTAGGACATATATTTAAAGTCTAAGGACAGGGTGGGAATTAATCTCCCACTGATATTTAGGATTGCTAAAATGCAACTGGATGGGCAAAACCAGAGAAGGCATTTAGCAAATTAGTGGGCCAGGCAGGTAAATCACATTTGTTCATTTGGTTGTCCAATATTTTTTGCAAGATGAGTAAAGTTGAAAGCCAATCTCCATGTTCAGCTTCAGGTTGGACACACTGATCAGTCAAAGTATCCATGACCTTTTAGTGCAGGTCAGCAGCTGTGTGGCACTGATTTTTACTTGTTCAGAATAAGTTTTTGGTTTTTCTGGGCTGTGGGAAAATACGCTTATATTGTATAAGTGTAGGCCCTGCACTTAGTGTGATGCTGCAACCTTGTAAAATTACTAATTTCAAAGATTTATTTTAAAATGTTAAGAGAATTTCAATTATTCTGATTTCAGATTTTATACAGAAAATGATCAAGATATTCCTTATTTTCCACAAGATTTTGAAGTTGCAAAATATGATGCCCTTGAAAAAGTAAGCATCTTTAGTGACATCTCTTATGTTAGTAGAATGCAGTAGGATCAATAAATGGTTTGCAGTTCTGTATGCATTACTTTAATTTTTTGTTTTAATCTTACAAATTATTATGCCATCAGGGTCACAAAAACAAAGAACACTATTGACAAACAAATTTAAAGTAGTACATCTTTCAGTGCAGCCTAACTTTACTTGAAACAAAATTCTAATTTTTATCACTATAACATCCCCAAGGTAACAAAGTACAGTAATATGTATATTCTTCTGGCAGTTTATACAGTTAACAAAGATTTTATATAAATAAATTAAATGTAATTTAAATGAAGTAAGTTTTCATTTCAAAATGGAGAAGACTTTCAGATCTCAAAATATAGAAGAAATTGTACATTGTCCAGCACAGTGAATCTCTGATACTGACTGGAGCTTCTGGGTGCTGTGGTAATGAAAATAATAAATAATTGCTGTACATTCCACTAATGCTTTCATAGCAGTAAATCATGATGGTTCCCTATACAATGTGGGGGACGTGGGGAAGTATATGTTATGACAACAAACAGTTGAAGAAAACATTAATGACAATATGAATGGGACATGTTTTGAAATAAAAGGGTTGTTGTTTTTCAGATTAGTACTGAGAAAGGCAAACAAGTTGTAGTTATTGAATTGCAGTGTTCCCAGGAATCGTGTGAGTTTCCCTTTCGAATATCTGCACACTTCAGCATGTCAGATGGATTCAAGGTATGAGCTGTTTTTTGTCATTTATTACAAGTTTATTTGTTAGTTTATTTCAGTATATTTAATAAATCCATCCCATCGTGCCAAATGCTTGTCATTCCTGTTTGCAATAAGATTACTAAATATAAATAAAAGAAAAGGTCATTCTACTAGCTTTTGACTGACATAACTGACTGAAAGTAGGCTCCCAGACACAGTGAGGCTAATTAATCTTTCCTGCAACTACTGAAGCCAATGTCAGTGTAACACAAATGAGTTCAGTTATCTGAACGTAAACCAGGGTGAATTTGGCCCATTGTGTCACATCAAGGGCCCTACTTGGAGCCAATTATTTGCCAGTCCTGTCACTTCAAAGTTGGTAAAATGACTTTTCCTGTCATTTATTTTTAAGAATTTACCCAGCCATTACAGACTTTGTGAGTAATGCAGCATGCTTGCCCTTCCTGACCCTCTGGTTCTTCTCCAGCAATCCTAAAAGCATTGCCTCTTTGGGTATGTCTATACTGCAATAAAAGACCTGGGGCACAGCTGCTGCTGGCCCGGGTCAGCTGACTTGGGCTCGGACTGTGGGGCTAAAAATTGAAGATTAGACGTTCGGGCTTGGGCTGGAGCCCGGACTGTGAGATCCCTCAAGGGAGGGGGATCTCAGAGCCTGGGCTTCAGGCTGAGCTTAAACATCTACACTGCTATTTTTAACCCCACAGCCTGAGTCCCACTAACCCAAGTCAGTTGACCTGGGCTCTGAGACTAGGTGCAACAGGTTTTATATTGCAGTGAAAACGTACCTTGTGTGATGGGGGTTACATGTACAGGTGGTGCTGTCTAGTGGTTATACCACTGGGTGCCAGCTCTGGTCCGTTTCCAGCGTCCCTCTCCAGCAATTGTTCTAATGCTAAGTGGTCCACCTTTTGGTAGGTAGCAACTAGGCCTTCCGGCTGGATCACCAATTGCATTCACTTCCTTTCAGGGTAACAGAGTCCAACAAAATAGATACAGTCCAATGCCCCCAGAAAATAAAGGGTCTTTAACCCACCTCCAGACTCCTGTGGGTGGCACAGTCTTGACTCAAGGCTTACAATATCTCTGTACTCTCCTCTCCAAGGTTGGGGGAGAGAAAGGGGTTTATGCCCCTCCACCCAAAGGGCAATTGGTACGGGAGCCAAGCTCTCTCTCTCCACCAGGCTCTGACCTAGGAACCTTATGAGAGGCAGTGATAGCATATACCCGTTTCAGGATTGCCTCCCTGAGCCACTTCCTACCACTTGCTTCCCCAGTCCAAGGTGTGGTCAAATGCCTCATTAAGTGATCCTCCAGAAGCTAGAGCAAAAGGTTCCCTACTCTTAGGGAACGGCTAGCTCTTCCTTTAGGGCCTGGGGTAACTGCTGCTAGCAGAACTACTCTTGCAGCCAGGACTCCTGCTGCATTCTTACTTAGGAGCTCCCAAGGTAGGTGTCCCCCATTCTTCTTCATACCTTGTTCTTGGCTTAGAATCTTGCACCTTTCCCAGTATTCTTAAAGAATTGCAGAAGAGCTTTTTTTATTGGGCCCCATTTTCCTTGTATCCTTGATAGTTGTTTCAAGGAAAATTTTATTATTTTAAGGCCTCTGAGTTTTCTGTATAAACACCTCCTTTCACTGGTACAGTCTTTACAATCCCAAAGAATATGATCTATCATTTCCTGGACCTGTTACGCATAATTCATCTTTATTCTTGTTAATTAGAAATAAATTACTGCTTAACCCACAATGCCCTGTTAGAATTCTGAAAAGAACCACTTCATTCTTCCTTTCAGGGTCTTGAATTATATCAACGTTGTCAACTGTTTGGCATACTACTTGGAATTTTCTCCCCTTCATTTAGCTTGCTCACAGTTCTTGACATTCCTTCCTTAACTCATTTTTCATTAGGTGTTTAAATTTCAGTTTGCTTAAGGAGATTCCTTGGTCAATTTGTTCACAATTAATAGCCCTTTTGCCTGTTTGTCTTCCAATCTTTTACCTGCTATCCCTACCTGCACCAGAATCCATGCTATTACTATGGTTATATCCAATTGCGCCAGTTTGGTTGTTAGCAGTAATATTGCATTCAGAATATAATTTCTGATGTCAGACTTTCCATTGTAAATTGCCTGCTGTCCTGATAAGGAATCAGAGAAGATGACCATGGCAGCTGATCACACATTTAAAGCCCAGTTTAATGCTAGCACAATCCCTATTAGCTAAACCGTAAAAATGGATACAAAATTAGTTAGCATTAGAACTTTCTTGAGTCTGAATGAGGACACGCAGAAGGCTTCTTCCCACTCTTCCTGTTCCTTTGTCTTTTGAGTCATCTGTATATATATGGCCATAGTGTCCCCACTTATCACAAATATATTGATTTCTTATATCTTGTATATTTATCATTCTTCTCCTTTTATTTATTTCATTATATTATTTCATGCCTACCTCAAGGGGAATGGTTTTCCGATAACAGATAATTTTTCCAATAGCTGTAGATTTTGATCTCTTTTAGTCCTTTTTTTTTTCCCATTAAGATCCTTTATCCACTTCTGTACTCTGTTTACATGGGGAACTTTGAATTTTTGCCCTACTTAGCCTCCACTTAATTCCAAATAATCATTAACCTAGTACTTTGGCCCAAAAGGTTAAGTCTAAGAACTTCATTCCAAGAGTGATAGGCACTTCATTGACTGTTTCTGTAGTGCACATAGAGGCATAAGAATGAAGGCACCACATGCAATATGCAATGGCTGTACTTGGATATAGTCTAGTTTTCTCAGATTTGTGTTCACTGCTGACCTAAAGTCTTGGCATCCATACTCAATAAGTGGTCTAATTCCTGTTCTGTATAGCCTTACCACCTTTTTCATATCCACTCCCCAGTATGTTCCAGAGATACTTTTAAGTAACTTAACTCTACCTTTGTACTTTAATATTTTCAGTATGGTCCATGAGAGGCAGTCATGTAGCTATAACTTTACATCTGTTTGGGTTTTCCTTGTTGTGAACATCATTCCCTTAGTTTAGTCTATGGAGAATTTGAAGGCCCACCTGTTTCCCTATTCTGCACTTCCCTTAAATGCATAATTGAAAGCGCTGCCAAAAGAATAAAGGTTTCTGCTTTTGGTCTGTATGACACAAGACATCAACAAATAATGTGATCCCTATTCCTGTACTCATCTCCTAGGGGAGGTTATTTATCATGATGTTAAAGAGGGTTGGTCTAATTACACTCCACTGTGGAGTTCCATTTGCAGTTGTGTATGTGTTGGAAAAAGCTTTCCCTATTCAGACTTGTTAATTTGCTGAAGTCCCTGACCCATATATACATTCTTCCGATAATACCCAGGGAGCCTACTTTATGAAGTAGTCGTATTCTCCATAACACATCATAGGCTTTTTCTATGTCCAAAAAGGTTATTCCTCCCTTCCAAATTGTCTGTTTCCCTTTTAAGATTCCCTTCCAACTGGAGCAAGCTCAGTATGTGTGGAGGGGTGAAGTCATCTGGGCCCGGAACTGCTCCTCAACCCCTTCTGTCCCAATGTAGAGTTTATACACCCCATCACACTCTGAAAACCTGTTATGCTAGAGCTCTAGATTAACCTTGTGCACGAGTCTCTCAGCTGGTAGTGTGACATGCCACAAAACTGGCACACTTCTGTAAGTCTTCTTTTTCTTATGTATTTTGATGTTGTCATTCACAGAGTAAAAAACAGTTCATTGCAACTAAGACTTCTGAAGAAGTAAGAGAAAATTATGAGATTTATGTTGAAGATTTGAAGAACCAGGATTTTCTATTAAGAGAAACCTTTCCACCTGGTGCAGACTATTTAGCCTCTATGAAATTACAAGAGGTTAGTATGACTTATTTGTTTGTATTCTTCTGGTCTTAATGATTTATATTAGTTTCTGATTCTCTGATTGTGAGGATTATGGTTTAGATTTAAGTAGTAGAATATAATAGGTTAGGGAAAATGGTATTTATCTGCTAATGTTTTGAAAGATTTTTAGGAATAATGAACTAATGGTTTACATTACTTCACTCTAACATATGAAAAGCAAATTTAATTAATCACGCTGTAGAGAATTCCCAGTATCCTTATTCCACCATAGGTAAGTACATAGACTACTCCATCAAAGTCAGTGGGAGTTGTGCCCAAAAATGATGTCAGGATATTGTACAATTTGATGTTTTCAAGTGCCAGAATTCTCACTCATTACTTATGTTCATAGCCTTGATCCAATTTCCACTGAAGTCTGTAGGAAGACTCCCATTGAAAACAGTGAGTTGGATCCTGGCCCCAGGAGTATTTTTCAAATAGGTTTGATTACATCTATTTTCAATAGCAGATAGACAGTGCGATACAAATTTTTTTTCCATGTATCTTTTTACTGTAAGCAATCTACCCTCCCCTTTGCCCCAGATAAGCTAAACTACGTGTTGACACAAAACTGGCTTTAAGATTATATCACCTATATCCAGGAAATGTTAAGTATCAGAGGGGTAGCCGTGTTAGTCTGGATCTGTAAAAAGCAACAAAGAGTCCTGTGGCACCTTATAGACTAACAGATGTATTGGAGCATAAGCTTTCGTGGGTGAATACCCACTTCGTCAGATGCA